AATATTTATCGATAAAGTTCATGACTCCTCAGGGCTCAGGTTAGGAATTTTTATGTACTTGTAATAAATTCCAGTTGCTCAGCCAGTACTAAAACTCGCATCATCTGAAGCCAAACTAGCAACACAGCCAATAGCACAGCTAGCACTGTTGCCAACACGGCAGCAAGCACGAAAATCCAGCTAGCAATCCAGCAGGAAAAAAAGCATCGTGTGCCGCTGGCTTTACTGGATTGCTTATGTGCTCCTATACGGGCAGTACTTCTGGAACTACAGAAAAAGTGTTCAACAAAATTTTATAATTTGCGAAGCCAATTTAACGTCGAAAATGCAAAAATAAAATCATTAATGAAATCTGGAATTGGTACTAACGATGTAAGTATAAAAATGTATATTTTTATAATTTTCGACACAATTACAGATTTGTTATTTGAAAATAATTAATTTCCTCTTTCTACAGCAGAATACTGCCATGGAACAGCACCAGTTTTATTAAAATATTCAGTAAACATGTCTCTTATTTCACCAGCTGCAACAGATGAACGATTTCCCCCTTGTTGATTCACACTACGTAATCCTGATTCAGGTATTTCTAAATTTTCTTATCTATATTCAGAAGGAATATAACGTTGCACATTTTTACTCAACAGAAAATTATGAAGAAGCACACATGCATATGTTATGATTTCTATTTTTTTTACAGAGTGGTATGTGATTTAGAAGAATTCTGAATCTATTCGCCAGAATGCCGAATGCATTTTCAACAGTTCTTCGTGCTCTACTTAATCTGTAATTGAATATTCGTCTGTTTTCTGTCAAGCCACGGTCAGGATATGGTTTCATTAAATTTGTATGCAAAGAAAAAGCATCATCTCCTACAATTACATATGGCATTTGAAAATTAAAATTCAGTAGTCTTTGGTTGTGGCAAATTAAGAGTGTTTTCCTTTAGTTTTATACCTAACAGACTTTCACGAAATACAGCAGAATCATGTGTGCGACCATTTTTACCAACATCTACAAAAATAAATTTATATTCTGCGTCTACTAACGCGAAAAGAATGATGCTGTTTTTTCCCTTATAGTTGCGATATTTAAATCCTTCAGAACGTGGAGGACGAAATAAAATATGTTTCCCGTCTATAGCACATATGCATCGAGGAAATTGCCACATAGTTTCAAATTTATGAGCTACAATTTCCTACTCTTCAGGTTTAGATGGAAATGGTATCACATTTTTATCTAACACTGTAATAATAGCTTGTAATGTTTCTAATATAATTTTTGACAGAGTATTTGGAACAATTCTTGTAGAGTACGCAAGATCTTGAAATGAATTGCCAGTTGCCAAATATCGAAGCGTAGCACTCAGTCTCATCCGAGGAGAAATTGCTTTTCTCATTACTGTGTCTTTCTTTTCAATATATGGAACAAGAAGATTTAACAGTTCCTCCATAACCTCTTCTTGCATTCCCAGACAACATTTTGACGTCTTAAAGGCGGCTAAAAGACGTCCGAAAGTCCCAAAGTCATATTTCAAGACGTCTTAAAATTATCAGAAAGACGTCTTTAAGACGTCTTTAAGACGTCTTATGACCCATTTTATAACGTCTTTAGGGAGTCTTTTAGACGTCCTGTATTTAGACGTCTTAAATCATGACGTCTGTTAGACGTTTTTTAAGGACATTTTACTGTCTTTTAGACGTCTTAAAGACATTATTCTTACATATTATATGACATTTGCGACCTTTTTAGACGTCTCTAAGACGTCGTAACGTTTATTTGGGAAATAATTTTTAGACGTTTAATTTTAGGTTAAATTAGTCGTGTGCCAATATATCTATACATAGTCAGCATTGAAAATCTATAATTACACGTAACGTAAACTATAAATTTTATTGTAGTTAAAATTACGTATAATTATAGATTTTTAATGCTGGCAGTGTATAAATATATTGACACACGGCCATTGTTTATTTAAATTTTTTATATAGCGTACATATATTTACAGATGTATAATTATAAGTTTAATGAGTGTTAAATAAGTTTAATAAGAGTTAAATAAGTTAATATAAGTTAAATAAATTAATAAGTTTAATAAGTTTATTAAGTTATAATTATAAGTTTTTCAGAACTTGATTAATTTAATTGTGTGTGTTTGTGTTTATTTGCAAGTTTTTTGGGAATATTTAACTCGATCTCCAGCATGCCGTAACCACTCTTGAATCACTTTTTGTACTTCGTGCAAACTACATTGCTCTGCATTAGACACATATTCTAAAATAATTATAAAATTGTTTATATATATATATATAATTACAGATTTTACACTTAACATAAAAAATTTAAAAAACATTAAAAATTATTAAATTAAATTACCTATAATAATATTGGCAAATACTGTATCCTTTATTCCCAGAGACTCATTTCGTCCTGTCCATGATAATTTTTGACACAATGTGTCTACCAAAACAAATTTTAATATGTTTCTTGTTTTCCCACTAAAAGAATTTCCTCCAATTCTCGCAATTTTACTATTCTGTAATTAAAAATTATATATATTATATATATAAATTTATATAAGCGACATTATTTTGCAATGTAATAACGTTTTCGAATGCAGTGGATTTGAACGTATATGATAGTTTTTTTAGTAGATATTATATCACTATGATACACTACCCAACAAAATGAAAGGATCACTAATTGTTCCATCTTGTAAAAGTAGGCAAATTTTGAGATAGAATAACTTTGTCAAAAATCATCATATCGAGATTTAAAAAAAAGCATTTAAAGCTTGAAATCTCTACTTTTCAGACCTATACTTAAAAAAAACCGCACTATTGATATTTCATAAAGTTACACAAACATAAATGAAGATATATTAGACCTCAAAATTTTTTACGAAATTTGCAAAGTTCCACGGGGCCAAGTAAAAATTGTGCACAAATGCGGTTTACAGCTTTTGAAAGAATGTATCTTTACCTGTAATTTGCATTTTTATCGACCTCTGTACAATTTTTTTTTACCAAGTTATTCAACATTGAAGTAAAAATGACCTTTTGCTTCAACATTGATAATTGAATAACTTTTGGTGAAAAGAATTGTACAGAGGTCTTATCTAAAAAAGCAAATTAAAGGTAAAGATACATTCTTTCGAAAGCTGTAAACCGCATTTGTGTACAATTTTTACTTGGCTCCATGGAACTTTGCAAATTTCGTAAAAAATTTTGAGATCTGATGGATCTTCATTTATGATTGTGTAATTTTATGAAATATCAGTAACACGGTTTTTTTTATGTACAAGTCTGAAAAGTAGAGATTTCAGGTTTTAAAATGCTTTATAAAAAATCTCAATACGATGATTTTTGACGAAGTTATTCTATCTCGAAATTTGCCTATTTTTTGCAGGGTGAAACAAGTGATCCTTTAATTTTGTTGAGTAGGGTATAATAGCCTTAGTTTTGAGAAGTAAATACTCACAAATTGTTTCCGGATTTTTTCTGTTTGTAAATCTTTCTCCATATCTAAAAATGATTTTCTTGTTGCTAATGGAAATTCTGGTAATAAATTTGCTTCATTTGTTACGACTATTTGGTTTGTTTCCGGATTTGCAATGAAGTTGATAAGCAGATTCAATTTTCTAAATATTTTATCTTGTACTCTGTCTCTCTCTCTACGGCATGCATCTATAATAATGAAAAGAGACCAATATTAAGTTTTTATTTATTATTAAAAAATATAATTAGCTTAAATAAGAAAATAAAGAGACAACACTTACTACAACATGTGTGAATTTTATAATTTTTAATATTATGTGAATCATCTAGATCATCATTTTGTATATCATACGGATCATCTAGATCACTATTCGATATCGTACTATTATCTGTAATTATAAAACAAGATAATTTTTATATTTACAAAAATATTACAAACATTAATGTTTATACTTATAAAAATACAAATATGTTTATACCTGCAGTAGATTGCGATTCATTGGCAATTGTAACATTGTCTTCCACGAACAGAATTTGTTCATCACACGCACGTGCAACATCTAAAATGTAATATTTATTTTTATTATCTATTTAAATACATTTTTCGGTTTCAATTTGTAAAAATAAAACTTGCCAAAAGAAGTTAAATAGTTTCGTTTAAAATAATTCATCTGTGTACACGGAGAAAATTTTATATTTAAAATTACTATAATGTGGTAGTAGCTGCGGTCTTCATGTAAATTATAAGTTTAAATGCTATAGT